CCCCAAAACCCCAAAACCCCAAAACCCCATCAAGCAAGTAAGCAGATTATTATAAAATGCAAATTATATCATATTCATTATTAGATTTCTAGTCCATCAGGTGAAAAGCTTTTAATGATTCTATTAACTCCATAGTCGTAAGAGACTATTCCAACCCAAACTCCAGTGAAGAATTGAGTTAAAGTTGCATCCTTGAGATGAACTGTAGCCTCAAAGGGAATTCTGATTCTTGCCTGTTTTACAATGTAGGTAGCATTCATAGTAGAAAATTCTGAGATTATCAATGAGGTTTCATAAGCGAATTCACTGTACTTTGTGTTAACATTTCCATAAGTCCAGTTTCTTATTTGCTTGGATGTGTAGAAAATCTAGCCATTCATATCGACTATAGGAGTTCTGGCTGAAACCTTATAAGTCTCTCCAATTTACAGCCCAAAGCCTTATAGTTATTCAAAGTATTCTGTTGAGGAATTTGTGTTGATGATTTCATTATTAAATTAAATCATTGGTTATGATCCTTAACTGTTGTCGATGAGAGTATCTTAAACAATCAAATCTGGGAGTATTGTAATGTTAGCTTGCTCTTTAAAATATGAAATACCAATGTAGTCAACCTCGACTAGTGAATCACTAATTACCCAAGTAGCGTCATCTTTAAATTAATAGTTATTCTATCTCTTTTGAGCTCTGATTTGATCGTCATCTTGTCTTATATAAACATCAGGCCTATTAATTGACTCAAAAGAAATGAGGTTAGGGTCGATTAATCCTCTCTTCACTTTGAATGTAGCATCAGCTCTGAAATTTGGATCAGAATGATCGATTTATTGTAATTTTATAAGATTCTGGGTACCGATTCTCAAGTAATAGTCTGGCATATTAAATGATCTAATAGAAACAGTATTCTCACCAGTTAGTCCATAATCCAATATTAACGAAGCAGAAAGTCTGTAATCTTCATCATCTCTCATTTCTTAAGCAAGGAACATACCATTAAGGTGTCTCAGAAAATAGCCTCTGGGATAAAAACATTGCAATGAAACTAGAGATCCTAATGAAAATGGTAAAATATCGAAATCATCTCTTGCGAGGAATGTAGCGCCCTCTGATTCTGATTAAATATTTTATTCTAGGGTCAAGAATAATACTGCACTAATGGCAGCAAGTCCGAGCAATCCGAACGCTAACTTTTTGAATTTAAAAGGGTTCTAAATTTTAGGAATGAAAGCCATCTCTGCTAAATATTATATTAATTGTCAATCTATTCTGTAAGAAGACTTCTTAACTTGAAATTATGCAATCTGGGGTTTTGGGGTTTTGGGGTTTTGGGG